GCTGGGCCTAGTGCCAACGTTGAAGGGTTTCGACCTAACGCTGCATACTCTGACGCAGCATCTGCTATTAGAATACAGAGATTGAATGGTCCTTTGCCGTATGCTGGAAGGCATGACCACAGACTGTTGGGTGGGATCTGGACATGGATGCACACCGGATTGATGTACTCCCAAGATTTCTCAAGAATCTGCCGCAGGGTACAGATATGGTCAGAAGTGCATCGGCCGGGACGGAAGCCACACCACTCTTCTTGTATGTTGGAGTTAGTTATTACGCGGCACCTCCTTTCTAGCACCTTTGCGTAGACCTTACCTATGAGGCTCAAGAACGTAATGCTCCTAAAATTCGAGCACTCCTTGTGGTCTCCCTTCTTGAACAGGGGTACAATAACTCCCGTTCTCCAGTCCGCTGGTGTCTTTCCCCTAGTCAATGCAGTCTGACAGACACGCACATCCGTTGTTCGCCAAACGCCTTGAGCATTTCAGGGCGGAATTCATCAACTCCGGCAGCCTTTCAACTTTTCAAGCATTTTACAGCTTCTGTAATTTCATCTACAGAGATTGTAATATCTGTTCCCTCCTGCTCTACAAGAGAGACTTCCTGCAGTTCCTCTGGGATAAGCAGTTCCTTAAAGAACTCTCTCCATTGCCAAAGAATGTCCTCAGCCTTGGTAAAAGGGTGTCCAGACCTGTCCTTCAAGACTCTTAGACTGCCCTTCTTTTCACCTCAGAGCCGGCGGATGGTCTGCCAGAATACTTTGTTTGCCGTGTGGAAATTCGACTCCGACACATCACCGAACTTCTCCCAGGAATCTGCCTTGGCCTTTGCCACTGTTATGACTGCCGCCTTGGGTGCCTCGACATATCGCACGCGTGTAGATGGCTCATTGCTTCCAAGCCATTTCTTGAACGCTGCTTCCTTTTCTTTAACTGCCAGTTGTACCTGTCCTGTCCATTAGGAAGATCATTTCCGACCTCCAGTCAGCAGGCCAACTAATTTAAGTCGGCAGCATTCGGCGGTAGCCTCGAGTATGCCGGTCTTAAAGAGCTGCCAATCGATTTCCACATTAGAGGTCAACATGGGGATCTGTTCAAATCGTCGTGCGATGCTGTTTGCAAATTTCGCTCTCGTGTCCACGGAAGGGAATGTTTCCCATTCGATTCTCAGGTTGCTTCTGCCTCCAGATCTTCGTATGGTACTCCATTTCTTACAGAGCAGCG